ATGATCCCAGTTACAGTATACCAGTCCAGTACCCACGAATGAAGTCCCTTAATAAATCTACCATCTTTTAAATGGGATATTGTACCGAGATAAAAATTAAGTAAAGTTGCTTAAAGTTGAGTATATCCAAAGGGTAATCATTAAGCTTTCATCTTCTGTTAAATTTTAAGTGATTCTGAAATGTATAGGGTGGATGATTGTCTGAGTAAATGCTCCAAATTTTATTTTCGATTTTAACTAGGAAGTTAATAAAGTTACCCTATTTATACTCAAAATAGTATTGCTCTCTTAAATGCCAGTCATGACCCCTAAAGAATTCTCCAAGAAACAATAAACGTATTTACACTTTTGGTATTCAACTGAATTTTCCAACTGAATTTTCGTCTCCGAATGACCTTAGATCTGCTCCGAATAATCTTCTGACGTCAAGCAACAATCTCTTTTTAATAGTGACTTCAATTTTTTAAATTGTGGTGTCAAATTTTACGGGAAGTTGTGTGATTTTACGTAATGGCGGACAAATATGCATACAAGTGTAAATACGTCTATGAAGGGGATACTAGTATGACAAAGTAGTTGAAATTTTGCAGTCTAATATAATGAATAAAAAATCTGCACCTCAATTATGATAAAATTGCATTGGAGTAATTGGGGAAATAATTGGGTGCCCGTTCCATATGATAGACCTACAATGGCTACAAACTGATGAATTACGGGGTTTATTGACAAACACAGAGATGTTTATAAACAAAATTTCAAATTAATTGTCGTTTCATATGAATAAAAAGAGGTATACACGAGAAATAACCATGCTTTCCCTAGCCTTAACCTCAGGCCAAACACATACTTTATTAGCCGTATTTATATTATATAAATCTAGAAAAAAAATCAAAATTCGTTTATCCCCGTGCACTCTCATTCTCATGGACAGAACATGTGGTTCCGTGAAATATGGGTATGCAGAATTCAATATGTTCTCATTCAATAACATATTTGCAAATATCAGTTTAGACTGCCTTATGTGTTTATAGTTGACAAGGGAGAATGAACTTTATCACTATAATTCTTACAAACGCTCGTTCTGTGAATATGTCTGCTGTCCCTGATTTGTGATGGGCGTGTCTGCTACAGAAATCGCGCGAAGAAGACGGAAGTTAACGGTTTCGCTGATTGGTTGACGGAATGTCACGGAAATGGCGGAAACTGCCGTAGTGAAAAAACAATAACGACTCCCTGTTGTTACCAGGAGACGGAAAATGGCCGGCATAACAATGTTGAACCTCCGTAAGGATCGGAAAGTGGGCGGTAAATGATGATCAATGGAGGGGTTAGTAAATTAATAATGTTTAATTGAATGGATGGACAGTTATCGAATGTAATATCTAGGTCAAATTATCTAAATCATAGCGGTAAAAAAGTTGTATTGTTTTAGGCGGACAGAACCCTTCAGCCAGACTATAGTTCAAAGTAAAATCACAAAAATACTGAACTCGAAGCCAATAACAAGTATTATATTAATATCGACAGATTGTAGAACAGTGAATGTGCATTTCTGTATAACAATAATATTTAGTATGGTTTTAATTGACTGATAACAAAATCAATATTTTTACCAATAAAAACAATATTCAAAGATTTAATTACAGTATTGAATAGTATAGTAATAACTTATAGAATGAGTTTATTTAAAGGATTTATAAGTTTACCCGGATCGTATCTAAATTTCCAGGCTCGGTTAACAACATTTATAAAATTTAGGATGTGCTATTCCGTTTGACATAAGTTTTCTACAGGTACAGCCAAACTTGCAAACCAAATCTTTGTATCTTTGGAAGAGTTTAGTAAAGGTTTTAAGTAATTTGTGGTAACGAAATCCCTAACTTAATAATTTACCAGTAATACATAGATTACGCTCATTGAAATCCACAATGTCACAACAGACATGGGTATAATAAACGAGTTGGGATATATAAACACCGTAAGATGGTGCCAGAGGAACTTCACCGTCCAAAAAAAGGAAAATTAACAATAGGGAAAGAAAAATCTTCCCTTTAGTCGTAAATTTTTATATATAGCTTCTGGTGTAAAACTGAAATATCTAAATCTAGGAAAGGACACTTATTGATGTTAATATTGATTTATTTAAGGTAAGTTCCTGTGGGTAAATTTTTGCAGTATATTAAGAGAATTCTTCATTATTCAACAAAACATATTATCAAGATAACGGTAAGTGTTGTTGAATTATCAATCAAACGGAATTTAGACGAGTCTTTACTGCGTTGGCCATAAACTGTGATTCATAACAGTACAGGAACAAGTCTGCAATTGAAGGGGTACAATTGGTACCCATAGGAATACCTACAATATGTCGATAAACTTTATTGCCTAAACGTACATTAATGTTGTCAAGGAAAAGAATTATGGCTTTAATCATCTCATCACACATCCAGTAAGTATATCTAGCATATCTACCTTTCTCGTTTGAGAAAAAGGCTTTATAAGAGTTGTAGCAAAATAAATTTGCAATCAGATTTATTGAACGACCATTTTATTAAAAAGGAAAACTTTTGTTTGATAAGATTGTGTGGAAGTGTAGTGTAAAGAGTAGAAAAGTCAAAACTGTTAACCGAACCAAAAGGACCATCAAAAGCACGTAATTTATTATACGTACGCTCCAAAGAGAGTCATATAGTAAATAATCATGTAATAACCACAGCTCAGCTCAAGCCTTTTTTTACACACCAAAAATGGTTTCCACTATTTTCATATGTTGTATTACAAAAAATAATAAACTCGTTAAAAGCATTGAAAGTCTAGTAGTAGAACACTTACTAGAGGCCGATATGAAACGATATTTTACAGGTTTTTGTGTGTAGTTTAGTTATCCAATACATAGTACGGACCTTCAAATGTTCAGAAGAGGCTTGAGCTGAACTGTGGTTGTTACATGATTATTTACTATATGACTCTCTTTGGAGCGTACGTATAATTTCATTCTTAAGGACTTCCGTGTAGTATAAACGTCACCACTACATTGTTTGCTGCTTTGTCGGTCCGTACGAACGCTAAACGCTTTGCGAGTACTTGAATTTTGTTTTTAATCCAAGAAATGGGTGTGTCAATTAGATTATAAACGTGCATAATATTCACGTTTCATGATCGATGTTACATTAAACCAGACTTCTTTGAATATAATAGAGGTTTTCATTCACAAAATTGGTCGTAACATGATATTGAATGGTTGTTTGTCGGTAGATGCTGATATCATAGGTTATAGGTCTGTACCTGCTGTTATTATAAGGCTATTGGAAGTTACCTGCTGATATTGTAAGGTTATTTGTTGGTACTTGCTGATATTGTAAGGTTATTGGACGGTCACTGCTGATATTGTAAGGTGGTTGAACGGTTCCTTTTAATATTATAAGGTTATTGGACGGTACCTGCTGATATTGTAAGGTAATTGATTAGTACCTGTTGGTATTGTAAGGTTATTGAACCGTAACTTCTGATAATATAAGGTGATTAGTCGGTACATACTTATTTTGTAAGGATATTGGTCGGTATTTGCAGATATTGTAAGGTTATTGGTCGATATCTGCTTACATTCTAAGGTAATTAATCGAAATCTTCTGACATTATAAGGTTATTGGTCGATACCTACTTATTTTGTAAGGACATTGGTGGGTATTTGCTGATATTGTAAGGTTATTGGTTGGATCCTTCAAATATTGTAAGGTAATTGGTCAATATCTGCTGATATTTTTAGATTATTGGTCGATATCTGCTGAAACTGTAGGTTTACTGGTCGATATCAGCTAATATTGTATTTAAGGATATTTATCGGTCGGTACCTGTTGATGTTTTAATGTAATTGGTCGGATTCTTCAACTATTGTAAAGTAATTGGTTGTTACCTGTTGATATTGTAAGGTGAATGATCATTATCTGCTGATATTGTAAGTTTATTTGTCGAAACCTACTGATACTATAAGGTTATTGTTTGGTACTTGCTGATATTATAAAGTCATTGTTTGGTACCTTCCGATATTGCAAAGATATTGATCGGTATCTGCTGGTATTTAAGGCTATTTGTAGGTACCTGCTGATTGTGAAAGGTTATTTGTCGATACCTGCTGACATCTACCCGAGGGAATAAAAATTGTATTATTTCGAATTTGCTTTTTAGCATTTTATGATTATTCAATATACAGAAAAAGACTTTACCAATGATTGTTCATGTAAACACGGGCATAATGACTACTGAACTAGTTAAAACCTATGGGATGAAACGTCTACGTATTTAGTTTCTTCTTCTGTATAAACATATCCTAAAGGCGGTATTTTTGTAAATGAATATTTTGTACATACTAAGCATCTTTGATATGCTTCCAACATCTACTATCATTCTATAATATCGTATTGTATGCTAATACTTGTAACTTATTGCAAGACTCCGCTTTAAACTTGCAATGAATTAGAGTTTTTTTTTAATTCGCGGTAAAGTCCTAACAGTTACTTTCTGATGAAAAACATCAATAAAAGTTATGTTGCTTTGCTTTTGATCTTTTTTCATGCATAAGTAATTTTGTGTCATGAATTAATATACCATGCAGTTTCTATTCACTTTTATATGAAATGTAAATTCAAAACAGCAGATGATTATTTAAATGTATTTAGATATAAGATATATGAATTTGAAACACCAGTTGCTTAAATATCTCGTTGATAAAAATACAAAACATGTATAATCCAATACAACCAGAATGAATCTGCTGGAGAAAAACAATATCATGGTCAATATTGATTTATAATTAAAAAGAATAGCATAACAGTACATGTACATCAATCAATTTGATTATTTGATTTAAAAAAATAAAAATTTAAGTAACGTTTTAATGTAGTCAATATTGATTTAGTTTCAATTAATCGGTTATGGTTAAAATGCAACGACTACTTTGGATCCGATTTATGACGAAAGAAATGTTCCGGACATTTAATATTCTATTTCAAAGTTGATGGCGATGTTGATGTAGGTCTTGACATTTCTTTCGATGCTGATGCAATCGTTGAATTCGTATTCTGAGTCATGTCAGCGTCAGGTTCCTCAGCACGATAAGAAATGAAATATGCTGTTGAACCCTGTTTATGAACCATCTCATTTATTCTATTCCCAGCGTACAAATGACATTTGATCTTGTCATCTGGGCAAGTACAAAATGTATACGCTACACAATGAGCATCATTTATGCAAAGATTTTTGCATTCAGTTTGTGTGGTGACTGTTTCTGTTTTACTGTCGGATGATCTTGGGACTCCGATGATATTTGTATTTTGAAACTTTAAGATATCATTTATTTTAGAAGGGAACACACCGCTTTTCCAATCATCGCTCCCAGCTCCAACAACGGTATGGCCATTTATATTTTTGTACATGTAGCATGTACGTTCATATTCACTACATGTTGTGCAAAACGTAACAGCTTCACAGTTAATATTCTGAAGGCAAAGGTCTATGCATTCTCCAAAATTGGAAATTGCTCTTGACTTAAAATGATCGAATAGTCTTGTTCTAGTTAACATGATTCCAGGAGTAAGATCGTCACAAGAATCAATTTCCCCAAGATCCCTCAAGTACTTGCAATAGTCAGATTTAAATCTTTTTATATTCTCAGCTATCTTTTCGTAATCTATTTTCATATGTTTCATATAGTGCTCAGTGAAAAGATTTTCAATGGATTGCAATTTATATTCCATTGGCACAGGACTATCTTTAACCGTAGACGCCCACGTCATTGCATCGCCGTTTGCAGGTGGGGGCGCGCCAACAGTTATTGTTTTTGTTTCAACTGATTTCGAAAAATCTGATGCTGCTTCTTGTTGTGATGAATCCATATTGAAACCCCCTCCAACACTAAATAATCCAGAATAACTAGCTTGAACAGCAACATTAACTCCTTTTTCGCGTTTTGATTGAAATGATTTGGAGCTCATTTTATGTTCATATGTAAATCTGGACCCGAACGTTGTATATGTTGGAAAATGTGTACCATACGTTTCAAAAAAGTCAAAATAAATTTCCCGCGTATCTGTGCGCTTCAGTCTGTTTACCCAGCTGAGAAATGCTTCAGAGAATCGAGGGGGTTTTTCTGTTACAAATTTACTGAAATAATAAGTACACTTTGCTGTTGATAAAATGAAAACAGATTCACCAGTCGACATTTGAGATGACGATTCCTTGTACCCTGCGCTGGCAGAAAAACTGACACCCCACCCTCCACCGCTAACGCTTGCCGAAACGGATAGAGATTTTGCAAATTCATATTTATTTTGAACAGTTGATGAAGAAAATGAAGTTACACAGGATACATCTGGGACTACCACCAATCCTTCAGGAACACTGTATCTGCAATCGGCTGATTGTTTCCCTTTAGAGTAATCTACATCAAAAATCGGATATGTAAAGCCAGGGTCGTGTCCAACTGAGAGTGGGTAGCCTTTTAGTATGTTGTATCCAAAAAAGGCATAGTCTACATCAGGGAAAGTTTGCTTGAACTGTGAACCTTGGCATTCCTGGAGCCGATAGTCATTCCGCATGCCTGTAATACATTAATACCACTTGAGAATGTTACAACAGATAACTTCCGTTATTTCATTAATGTGTGATTCAAAATTACAATTTGTGCAGTCCTCCCTAGTCCAAGGCAAAACTGTTTATCTGGAGACATGTTGAACTCTTTTACTCTTTAAACGGTTCAAAATATCGTGTTTAAGATAAAATCAACAATTATGAATTTGAATAGGACGAAGTAAAAATTCCGCGAATATCCATTCTTTAATGACGTCCTACAAAAAGATCTATGGAAACATATTACCAACATCATATTCATAGACATTATACGTTCATTGTATTTAGTCGAAGTGAATGCGCTTATTAGATTTTTCCTACGCAAATAACACATTTCAATAAAAAGTAAACTACTGGGCAATGTGTTATAAAGGGTCTTTTGGAATGACGATACAAAAATGGGAAACGTAGATTCAACTTCCATGTTTAAGGTCATAAAAATGTTATTTTGTGAAGAACCACACTGATTACAACAGCAAATACACCGAGAACAATATCACCATTTTTCGACTTCATGTTTGTTATGTTTGGTGGATTTATATATCTTGTAAAAAAACATTCGGTATTCCAATGGTAGCTAATTGTGCACTCCTACCTGCCAACTTATTTTTGAATCATATGAAACAGAGACATTTCAAAGACAAAGGAAAAGCATCTTGATAAAAAGTGTGATTTCACTTTCAAAAACATTCACAATATCCTGTCACTCAGTAGCCAACCAATCAGTGAATGCATATATGTCATGTACCCCGGTCAACCTGAGACTTAGTATTTTACCAAAAAGGAAAGTGTGCTTTATATCTTGACCGTGATGATTTCAGCTTTCCAATTGTTAACTTCCTTTTTCTCAGTTGAAACATACGCTCTATACACACGTCTGGCGTTTGCATATCTCAATCAATATGTAACGCTCGTGCATATTCACATTAATGAGGATTTATTAAAATACGAAGGTGTGGTATGATTGCCAATGAGACAACTCTCAACAAGAGACCAAATGACACAGAAATTAAAAACTAAAAGTCATCGTACGGCCTTCAACAATGAGGAAAATCTATACCGCATAGTCAGCTATAAAAGGGTTATCTATTTTTGCGTGGATACCAATTTTTATTTGATTAAAGCAAAAGTGTTTTTTCGCTGCTAGTTGATTTCCTGGGTTTTGTCAAAGTCTGAATAGAGTCCTTTAAAATATGTGTACTTCGTTGAACATTCTAAATCGATATTCACCAATACCCATGAAATCCATAAAAATGATATTCCTAAATAAAAAAAATTATTGTAAACGAACATCTTTAAACAGAATGTGTTTCTAACACAAAACTCCAACAGAGTGAGGAGAAAGAACGACGTAAAACGACACATCATGAGTTTTACCATCACATCACAAATTGGTTGACCGAAACGATATATACGTTTCTCTCATTCTTCGTCAATTTATCCCTTTCTGCACCCATTGTATAAAAAAAATTTAATCAACGTGTGGTTCGTTTGATCTCAGTTCTTCATTGGTTAAAATCCGATTATGACGTCGAATGTACTTGCTTTCCTCTGAATTTCCTATTGTGACGGCATGAAAAAAGGCGACCATGCCTGATGACGTCACATAGAAAGAACACATCTTTTTGCAGATCATTCAAAAAGAAGGAATAAATTTGCCTGCGTATTGTTTGAAAATCATTAGAGAAACAGATTCCACCACCAAATCTCGTGTAATACGATATTTATCCACTCTCGACAGTTAAATTTTAAATATTTAAAACGCTCGGCGAGCCTCGCGTTTTAAATTTGAAAATTTAACTGTCTCGAGTGGATAAATATCGTCTCACACTCGATGCAGTGATAGAATCTATATTTCTCTTATTCTTTGGCAATTTAACCCTTTCCAGACCCATTGTATAAAAAATGTAATCAACGTATGGTTTCCGATGATCTCAGAAGATGATTGGATGAGACTAAGGGTCATAACCTTAATCAGCCCACCGGATGAATCGAAATGTGCTTACAAGTGTTAATGAAATTGACTTTGTGGAATGTGATAGGCACTCGAAGGGGATTTTCGTTTATCAAAAATGAAAAATTTATTTGATAATCATTAGAGAAACAGATTCTTACATAGTTTCTCGTAGATTATCGGATTTAGATTGGGTAAATCCGATAATCCACTGGTACCAATGTAATCATCTATATGTCTCAACTCACTAACGACATGTTTTCGCAACCTTATATCTTTAGATAGTTATAAAATCGTCTGACCTGTTAACGTACCGATTGTGACATTTTGATTCGCATTGCAAGTGATGAATGCTTATCAGGAGACGTTTATTCTTTCGACCCACCCGGTCTCGCTCCTTTTGCAATCAATACGACTCACTCAGTTTTTGTTTTTTACCTTGATTCTTTATATTCAATGACCTAAATTACTGTAAAGAAACAGATTTTATTCATTTCCAGTTATTTCATTTATTGAAAAGGAGAGAATGTCTTGTTTGAAGGAGGAAGTTTACTTTTTAAAAAGATTCAATAGATATAGGAAGATGTGGTATGAGTGCCAATGAGACAACTCTCCATCCAAGTTACAATTTATAAAAGTAAACCATTATAGGTCAAGGTACGGCCATCAACACGGAGCATTGGCTCACATCGAACAGCAAGCTATAAAGGGCCCCAAAAAATTACTAGTGTAAAATCATTCAAACGGAAAACCCAACGGTCTAATCTATATAAAAACGAGAAACGAGAAACACGTATGAACTACATAAACAGACGACAACTACTGTAATCAGATTCCTGACTTAGGACAGGTGCAAACATTTGCAGCGGGATTAAACGTTTTAATCGTACCATACCTTCTCCCTTTTCTGAAACAATAGTATAACATCACAACATAGAAAAACACACTATAAAATATCAATTGGAAGGCTTAACTCAATCAAAAAACGTAAATTAACACACATTGAACGAATAAATTTGACCTGTGACACCTGAATGCAAATACACAGTTAATAAAAAATTACAAGGGATAAATAGTTAAAGACAAAAGTAAATAAACAGGTTTAAACAAAGTTATAGTATGATATCAAATGTGAAAATGAAAATGAAAATAATTTTGTTGTTAAGTATACTTCTTCTTCTGTGTGTATAAAATCTTCCGTTTAGGAATACCAAGAAATTTCTTTAATATCAATAAAACTAATCTAACACTTGGTACATATGGGGTGAATATCAACAATAAAACTATGAAATTAGTGCTAGATAAAATGTCCTGTACAGGTCCAAAAACATCATTTAAGGAAAAATGAAATAATTTTTATGTTCATAGTACGAAGAAGTGAAAATTTGTAGTAATACCAAATAATCAAAGCTGGTATATAGACAAGATCCATGTTAACATTAAGTAACAAAAAAGCATTACAAATAGTATCAACAGGTCAAATTAAAAAGAAAGTAAGATTTGAGAGTACTCGCAGTTACTGACAGCTAGTTAAGAGCCAAAACAATTAATAATAAAAAATCATGCATCAGAGACTAAAATCAACTAAAATACATCACAGGGATTTAGTATTTTAACGTCATGAACAGTCAAAGAAGACATGACTTGTGCAATGCCAAAAATAAATGTATCGACAGGTAGTAGGATAGTTAGGAGTGACTTTTTTATAGATAAAAATGAACGTGTGTGTGTCTCTATACATCCCGTTTGAAAAGAAAATACAAATTTAGTTATGTTTTAATTTGCTAATGACAAAATCGATATTAGTGCCAATGTAAACTATATTCAGAGATCTAATTACAACATTGGTACGATAACCCTTACTTATAAGTTTGTTTAAAGGTTCGATGAGTTTACACGGATCACATAATGATTTCCGCGCTTTAAGTACAATATTACCATCAAATTTAGGATGTGAAATACCATTTTTAATAACTTTTCTACAGGTACAGCCAAATTTAATAAACAAATCTTTGTATCTATGAAAGAATTTAGTAAAAGTTTTAAGTAATTTGTGGTAATGAAATCCCTGACTTAATAATTTACCAGTGACGCATTGATTACGTTCGTTAAAATCTATGATATCACTACACGCACGGGCATACCGAACGGGTTGGGATATACAAACACCGTATGATGGAGCCAAAGGTACATCGCCGTCTAAAAAAGGAAAATTAACAATAGGGAATGAAAAATCGTCTCTTTTGTTGTAAATTTTAGTATCATATGTTAAACTTACCAACATTAAAAAAATATTTCCGCAAAGGCTTTAGTTTTAATTTGAAGTCATCTTCGTCGTCGTCGTCGTCTTTTCTGGTACTGTGAGCTTGTACGATTCCTTGAATTGCATGCTTATCTTTGGCTTCATTTGGATGACTTATAACCAAGTTATCGTTCTTTTCACTAGACAAATAGTTTGACAAATATCAGACATCATCGGTGGTTGGTACGGACGCAACTTTTTCAGTCATATAATAATCGTTACAAAATATTAAGAGACATACTATGCCAAATAAATGAAGAATGTGTCACCCAAATTCGAAGTTCATCTGAATTTTGTAGTAATAAGCATTGTGTATAAGTTTCATAACATTTGGTTGAGGCAGACTTCAGTTAAAGAACGGGAACTAATTTTGGGACGTACGTACGGGTACGTACGGACGGACGTACAGACGGACAATGGTAACACTTAATGTCCCTTCCGCAGCGGCTGGGGCATTAAACAAAATACATAAAAAGAGTTTTATGAATAAGTAAATAATTTTGAAATATTGTTTATCATGTTAAAACCTCTCAGTATGTCGTACCGTACTATTACCAAGAAGGGTATCTTTATATTACATTATCATAGCATCTATGTAATATTCTGTATTCTAGAAAAAATAGGAAAATGTGGTATGATTGTCAATGACACAACTTTCCACCAGAGACCAAATAAAATAGATGCAAGCAAGCATAGGTCACCGTACGGCCTTC